GTTTAAATTAAGTATTTTAACTCTAAAAAAAGTGAACTACAAAAATAGATCCTAAGAATAATCACAGTGAATCTTATTATTCTGTCTTTTGTCGAAGGTTCTTTGTTGTTATATAATTCAAATCCCAAAAAATTGAGTCATTTGTAATCTCATGGTAAAAATGGATATGTCATGGTACAAAAAAACGTACACTTATATATAAACCGTGCTGCTTAATGTTATCTTATTTTTTTGTCACAATTTTTCCTGGAAGTCCTTGTCTTCCAGAAGCTGCAATCCAGTTAGAAAAAGGAACTGTTAGTGATTATGGTGCTCTCCTGTCTTCCCTTTTTCTCTTGAAAGCCAAAGCAACAATGTGTTATATCAATGTAATAATAACTTTACAGTGTAGTTGAAAATTACTAGTGCTAATTTTTTTGATCTGTGTTATTTGCTGTTTAACTGTCAAAGATTGTAGTGTTTCAATGCTCGAAAATTTTCTAGAGCTTTGTGTTGTTAAACAGTGTACAATAAAATCATATTGTCAATTCGAAAATTTCCATACCTCTTTTCCTCGTCGACACAAGTTGAACTCAAACGGTTTCGGAAGTCGTTTAGGCCATTCTCTCTGAAATAAAGGTGAATAGTACGATTTCATAAGAAAATTACTAAAAAAAAAAGGGAAATAGAGTTTTTGAGCATATAAGGTTTGCGGGCCCATTGTTCATTCTTTTAAAAATTATCTAATAAGTGGCACCGATGCTTAACGCAATCAGTACTAATGGGAATCAACAAGAATTAATAACCCAAAATTAGGCAAAATTCTTTAACGCTCCACCCTTTCGTCAAGAACGCCTAAAAATTGGGAAAAAATCACATGAAACTGCAGCTTGAAAGGAGATTTTGAATATTGGTTTATTTATCTTCTGTATTTTCTGTACAGCAAATCAATATCAATTTTCCATTAAAAACTGTTTCAGTAAATAATGCGAATCTACATGGCTTTGCTGGCCACGTCATCACAATTTCAGAACAGACAAGCTTGCATTTTCTTTCTTTTTTGCAAAGTGATTTTTTATAATTGGAGGATTATCATGTTTCTTGAGTTTGAAGACGATAGCAGTAGCGTAAAAATTACTAGGACCGCTAAAAGTCCTGAGAAAATCTTAATTGCTCGTCTTATTTGCAAAAGCGGATTTGTGAAGTTCAGTGAAGGAACGCGGTGAAAAAAGTACCTCATACTTTTCCAAAAAAAAAAATGGTAAACAGTGAGCATTCGCGATCTAGCAAAAGAGGCAATGAGGCCTCAATTCTAAAAACTGAGGATCTATAATTTGATGCCTGATACTATAAAACAGATAGTTTTGCAGAATGCGATTACACATGAGCCTCGCGCAATGCACAACCTTATTTCTATCTTCGTCCCAAACAGGTGAAGTATAATGAAGCTTCAGATAACTTTTTCCAGCCTTCCACATATATTTCAATGAAACCTGAAGTTTAAGCTCTTATACCAATTTTCAACACCATGATATACAATTGTTTCATTTTGAATTGCGTTACCCTCATCGGCTACAGTGACGACACCAAACTAAAAGTAGCAGTCCATGAATGCTGAACCATAAGTGACGCAAATATAAATTTAAAGAAACTTCTAAATTTTTAAATTCTGGTAGAAGTAGAAACTGTACAGTTTAGTTTTTTACTATAACTATGTCGGTCAATGATTCAGGTTTAAAGTGGTTTTTTCAATCTGGCCATGATTCGTAAGGAAACGTTTGTTGTTTTTTCTTTTCCTTACATTCCAAGATCTATCTTTGTAGAAATTTTATTACCACTTTGAAAACTTGAAGATTTTTTAAAGTATCTTGCGAACCTAATGGATGCGAAAATGTAAGTAACTTCTCTAGGAAATTCTACATACCAGTAAGCTCTTTTATTTTAAGTGTGAATTGCTTGCTTAATTTTAATCACAAAACATTTCTTAAAAGCCTTTTTTTCCGCTAAGGATTTTAAAATTTGACTTTAGTTTTCAGAAATGCTCTTTTTTCGACGCATTCGCAACATTTCACCATAACTTTAATTACGTCAACCATCGTTCTGTAGCTCTCATAAATTTTTTTGGTGATCAGTGAACAGACTTGGCACCAAATTCAAACAAATAAAGCAACGGAATCTACAAATGGTTTTTGCCAATGTATACTTCAGCAAACAATTGCTTCGCAGGAGTTCAAAATATGACTTACCACTGAAAATGACCAATGAGTTCAAAGTAAGCGAAAAATCTGAACGTTTTGACCTGCAGATAACATCGGGAAACAATCCAACGAACTGTGCAATGAACCACCGTTCCCAGTCTACTTGATCAAATTTGGTAACTGCCAAATTGGCCCTCAAAAGTTAATTTTCAGCATCAGGAACTCCATTTTAGGTCAATTTCTTTAAGTCTACAGGTTTTGTCATTCTCTAGCGTTCCCTCCAAATATCCTTCTTTTTTTTTTTTCATTCTTTTTGGATCACTTTCTGCTGTATCCAACAGGTGCTGCCACAGTACGTCCACTGAGGGTCCAATGTGTACTGCGTCCTCTGTCTTGGAAAGTGATTGTTCTAATTTCTCAAAAAGGTGAACAGGCGGAACCTGTGAGCAAGAAATGGTAGATGCGTACTGGTTATACAAAAAAGTCAAGGGAACACACTGGAACACTCCAAAGGACAATATTATTTCTGATATCGTTCTGATATATTGCTTAACGTCGATGAGCATGTCCGTTCATCAATTAATTGGAACAGTGCCAAAATGGCACTTATCGCGCCAGAAAGCAGAGAGAAAAGTTCGATGCAAAAACAGTTTTCAAAATGGCTTCGTTGCTCGGAATTTTCACTGTTAAATTCACTTTGCTTTTTAGCCCATTACGTGTTCAGAATCGTTTCTGGATCGTTTTGTCTATAAAAACAGCGTTAGATGTCATTGCCTAACATCGTTTCGTAATCTTTTCTGGATTACCTGCTTCCCACGCATAGGTGTACTTTTCAGTTTCCAACAGGTGAGATGGGAGTTTTTAATCCGGAAGATCCGGAGAACGAATGGATAGTTTCGCTGGTAACGCAGACCTATCGCGATAAACTTACTCCTGTTGAATTTGGTGTTCTTGTTAGAAAGGAGCTTAATAGCCGTCGGTGCACAGAACAGCAGCTTCGCTTTCTTGCAAGTGAGTGCGTTTTGAAATAAAGCGACTTTGTTTTTTATACGTCCCTATAAAGTTTTCAAATACATTCAAGTAGTTTGACCTTCAAGTTAATTGTTTTTTCTTTGTTTTTGCAGCAACTTTGCTCCGCTTTGCTACTGCTACTGATGCTCCTGAAAAACGCTTATTAATTTGTCTCGTAAACTTGGCTAAAGCTGAGGTAAATTACTAAGTTTATCAAATAATTCTATAAAAATTTTGTAAAAATTTGCTCCAACACTTGAGTGCATTGCCATTCCATTTAGTTTTTCATTCCAGATTATTACTTGGGCTCGCTTTATCAAGGTCATATACGAGTTTGAGCATTTTTCTAGACTTCTTTGCGTCGAAGCTTTGGCGGATATATTACGTGAATCTCTGCCATATCTGAAGTAGGCTTTTTTTAGAATAAGTTATGAAAGCACTGGTAGGATTTGGTTAGATTTTTCTGTGTGTGATACTTCCTTGCTGTAGTTTGCAGTGAGGGTTATGCATTTTTTTTGTAAAACTAAATGCGAATTTATATCATGAATCGCCTTTTCAGCTGCAAAGCTTCGGCAGACAAAGAATGTGAGATTTTGGCTAAATCCCTGATGGATGTTTTAAGTTGGTGTTTATTAGCTCTCGAGAAAACTTTGCAAATGGGAGATGAAAAATCTACAGCTGCATTAGCTCGGTGTGCATGCGAGTATGCCAAAAACAAGTTTGTTCAAGCCGCATTGTTCCTTTATGAACGAATTAGCAGGGGCAAGTGTTTTCGAAATTTTTAGCTGGACTCTTCGGAACTTTGAAAAACATTATATTATTGCTGTAAAGTCTTCGATTTTCAGACAGTCCTAATTACATAGTGGAAGGAGTGGCGAACTTTGCTAAAAAGTATCCAGACAATGTTGATGTTGATACACTTCAGAAAACTATAATATTACTTCAGAATTCTCCCGTAGATAGAGTGGAAGAAAGTCTTACTGGAAGAGTGAAGCAGGTTAGTCATCTATCGAACGCCTGCCAAGAATTCATCATTTCATTCCTCTCTCCGATGAGAAATAATGGAAATTTTTATAATTTATGAATCGCTACTACTTTTCTTCGTTGGTTTTGAAGCTTATTTTCTTAGTCATGATAAGCTGTCATTGCAAGTTTTAGAACGAATTTCCAAGTCAATGCTTTTTCTCATTTTAATGAAATTTATCATGCCATTTTTATCTGGCATGGACGGAGTTTAGAGTTTTGCAAATTTTTAAAAATGTTGAAATTTCAGCCTCATCCTGCCGTGCTCACTCTGGTCTCAGTATTTGAAGGTTTTCGAATGACAAAAAGAGTTGACCAAATGGGTGATGCATTCTATGAGGCTGCAGAAATCTTGCATTTCCCATATACCCGTATGTTTGAAGATATGCTTCGTGCATCTCTTCTTATTATGGTATGCAGTTACGTCATTTTCCCTATTTTTACCAAGTAATCAAATTCAGTGCTTTTAATTGTAGCTGATTTGCCTTCTTAGTCACTTTGCCAAATAATGACTTAATTTTTTATCATCGTTTAGTTTGTAAAAAATAATTTATTTTTTCTTTCCAGTTGGATGTCAAGGAGTCTGTAAGTGAAGAAATGGCAGCGTTCCAGTCATTTTTTTATATAAAGTTGCCACAGATAATAAAGCATTTGCTTCTTCGTGGTATACCTCAAGGAGATTTGCTTACGGCACTGACAAACATATGCGAATGTAAAACTTTGCTTAACAAGGTTTTTCATTAATTCTAACTTAACGGCGTCTGTTTAACTTAGAAACACTCGTATGCTTTTACTAATGTAGCTTTTGCGTATTAAATGAACAAAGGTTGTATCAGCTACTTAAAGTAATTTAAACTATGTTTTAGGTTGACTTGAAGACGAAATCAAATACACCTAATATAATGTCGCATTTTCTCGATCAGTTATGTGCTGCTAAAGTGATTGACGAGGGGTTTACACGGTCTTTGCAAGACCATAGGTCACGAAAATATTTTTTGATGCTACCGGCAGCTTTATTTCTTTAATTATTTACTCTTTTTTCCCCTCATGTTGAAGGACGTTTCTTACGCTAATAAGCAGGGAAATTTTTGGAAATTAAGCAGACAGTGCTATTCTACCGGAAGATTTTAAGAGTTTTGACTAGACAGCTACTGAGTTATAACGAAAAATTTGGAGTTTAGGTTAAAATTAATGATGGAATCTTGTCCTATGCTATACCAAAACATTGTGCAATCGACAACTCTTAGTCGTCCGGTAATCCTTGAAGCAGAATCCGCAAAGATGGCCGTTGATAAGGCACATTTTGAGTACTAGTTTTCACTTACAATTTATTTATTTTGATTGGTATTTTTAACTTTCTTGAAGTTTTTAACCGGAACTTTTGCAGATAATGAGGCAACCGAACGATGGTATTATTAATGTTTTGAGGAAGTTGGCTAGCGGAAGCAGTGGACTTTTTACTTTTGATTCAGTTTGTGCTTCGTTTTGCGCTGATGGAAATTTAACTTATTTTAGCTCTAAATTGGCGACGTGAGTGACAGATATTTTATAGTAATTCTCATAAGCAATTTTTAGTTTTTATTAGCAAGCCAGTTTTCGCTTACCTGCCTACAAGATTTGATTGCAGAAGAATCGTTTTTCTTGACTTTTTGAATCAAGTACTATTTAAAGCTGGTTTATTTGTTCTAGTATCAACGGACAGAGCGAGCGACCAACGTCAACTGCTGATCGGAATGATGGTTACTCTCGAGCGCTCGCGTTCAACCTTTCATTCATACTTCTGACTCGAATACGTTTTAATTACAACGATCTCGTGAGTCTTAGTTGTAAGAACTTTAAATTGTATTTTTTAGTGGGAAAACGTATTAAAATTTTTTTTTATTGTATACTGTATGATTTTAGAAATGAATAATAGTTTGTAACTTCTAGAGACCAAGTGAATTGGTGAATGGTACTGCACGAACAGTTGATAATACACGTTTTTGCTTTTTCAAATTTGCTTCTAATTATGGATGGACTGCTGCTGACTGCTGTGGGCAGCATTCACCGCCATCGGCTGATGCTAAAGCTCACTATCATGAACGCGTTAACATGTTGAAACATGGGCAGATTTTCTGGGATAAACGAAGGTTGCTGTTCTGTCTTTTTCTTACCGAAACTTGCGAATTTGGTTTGCCTAAATATCCAGGGGTGAATGATTTTTTGGCACACCGTAAACGTTTTATATCGTATAGGTTTCTTAAAATAATGAAAGTAAGTATCCGCCCTGAGCATTCTTCGTTTTGATTTTAATACTTAACTTTAACTCAAATTCCATTAATGTTCAAGCGTCAACTACGCAGAACTAATTGAGGCAGTTCCTATCGTAGGAGAAAGCTTATTGGACGAATGTAGATGCAAGCGTCAGGAAGATCAAGAACATTTTCATGAAGTTATTAAAGTATGATTAAAGTAGTTATTAAAGTTTGCAGAGTTTGTTCCTTAAAGTTCTTTTCAGCTAGTAAACTAGTGGTTTTGTTCTTTTAATTCCTTTTTACCCGTATTTTCTTCTAGAAGGTTCTTCAAGCTTTCTGCGACGATACAAACTTTATGATCGTATGTTTGGTACAGTGGATGTGTTCCCAGCCAGTAACAGAAGCGAGGCAAAACCTTGTGAAGTCATTTATATATGCTCTTTCTTATCCCCTACAGTTGGATGAGAGGCAACAAGAAAGGTGCGCATTTCGAATTGGTGACTACCATTTTTTCTGAGCAATAAGCAAAATGTTCCTCTAATAAAATTGCGTCTAGTATGGCCTTGACGTCTGCAGCGTGTCGCCGAACTTTGGAGGATCTTTTGACTTGCGATCGTCTTCGGGACCCGCGATTTACTTGGATTATTAATTGTGCTAAAAGGAAGCTTCCTGCAGTGCCTTTTACAATGCCGGCCGCTACTAGTCAAGTATTAATTTTACGTTCGTCGTTAAAAACACATTTTATTTTTGTGTTCTTACTACGGTGAGTGTTATCGTTTCATTATTTGTAGTCATCGGACGCAGAAATGTTGAAACAAGCTTTTACATATGCCCGACAACAAGGCTGGGCCTCTCCAAATGTTCTTCAGCTAGTTGATCGTTGTAATAAAGCGGGAGTAGTGGAGAACTGGTGCATGGTAAGTTTGTGCCAACGTGTGATTTTACGATGGGTTTTTCGTCATTGCCTCTTCGTTTCTAGTTATTTACAAATACGGTTTTCCTCTCCCCAGTTTCGCTGTAATAGATTTTCTTTAATTTATGCACTTCGATTTAATTTTACTTTTGAGGTTTGGCTCAATTCGATGTTTAAACTGACCACTAATGACGAGATGGTTGCTGCTGGAGAACTTTGTTTTGCAGCAGGTGTTCTTGCTCCTGTGCCGTGTATGATCAGCTTTGTCCGTGAAATTACTGAATATGTATTGGAGCAAAATGTTGAATTTGGTAAGTGATAATATTAATTACGTAAAATTCTGTTTCTTTCAATAGATTAGTAGCATTTGTTGCTGCCAGTTATTAAATTAATTCACAAGTTTTTTCGTCACAAGTAAGAATGAGAGTTTTTGAATTTTTAATGGTGAGAAAGCTCTTTAGGCGTTCTTTTATATGCGTGGACATGATAACAAGGAAAATATATGTAAGCTATAGTGGAAAATAAGCTTTTTTTTGAACCTTGAGAAGTTGAGTGATAGGTCCTAATTAACCCAAGTGCAGTTTTGATGCAGTCTTCCTTTAGTTCAATCTGATATTGAAAAAACGACGATGTCTACAGATACATTCTGCATATGGTTAGAGTGTAGTGGTCTTTAGGACCGTGAAAATATGGTTTTTTTTATTCTCCTTAGAAAGTCACGACATCTAAAATGATTTTTTAGTTGAATTAAGTATGGCACTGAAAGCACTTTCACAGCGTTGAAACTAGGAAAATTTTTTTCATTTATTTTTGCGACAGTAGTTTTTGGGCTGAAAGAGATTAAACACAAGATGGATCATTACGTGCTGTACGGGTTGTTTTTGCGACAGGGAAACTTAGCGACATAAAGGGCAGGTAAGGTTGGAACTGCATCTTTTTCCACTGGATGGATATCCTGGTTCCGATTGGTGCTGGATTTTTGGACTTCACGTCAAACTTTCAAGCGTAACTGTGCCATGATTATGTTTCCATTCTGAAGGTCTAACTCAGTTTTAGAAGGGATGACGTGGAAAAAGAAGCTTCCTTAGTATCTGGTGAGATATGTGTACAGCGCTTTGAAAAGCACAATCACTTAGTGAAAGCTGATTTGCATGCCAGTAAACAGTAAACTTTTTGATAAAAAAACTTTTTAAGATCTTGTTTTTCAGGTCAACCTTTCTAGGACAATAGTCATGTGCTGTTTTTTTTAGTAACTGGTCTTACTTTTTTGGAATTTCGACTAGGGAGACTTGTGCCTTATTCACTGTATTGTCCAAGTGCCGCGTTATTTATTCTTGAAGAGTTTGAGTAAATCAAGATGGTTTGGAAGAAATATTTGCATAATGTTTCAAGTATGTCCAACTTCTTAGAGAGTGGGTTTGGGCTAATTGGCACGGTGTTTATGTCATTTGTTTAATTTTATGTCTCTTCGTGGAAGACGTAAATTCATAGCTGAATATGCATCGGAGAAGAGGGCAGAGGCAGTCGGATGGCAAAACACTTTGTAAAAAATGTGAAAAGAAGGGAGAAAACTTTAGAAGTATATGGTTTATTTTTAGCGTTAATCTTCAATTTAATCTCGAGAAAGCAGTTTTTATATTAGAGTGTTTCTTAAGTAGCAATAAAAAAAGGCAATCTATTAGAAGTTGTATGAGTCACTTTTGAATTTTAAGAGGTACATTGCCTAGCACGGGTTTTACGCACACTGAAACAATATCTACGGCACACTTTATCATATCAGAGAGTTTCTAAAAAGGATATTTTTGAAGTCTATACTGAAAAATAATTATATTCAATGATTTAATTAAAGTGCTCTTGACATGTATCGTGTTCTACTTGGCTTCAACGTTCTTCAGTTAAGATAAAAGGAACGGCGTAGATATATAGTTCTGTTTTAAATGGCATAAGTGTCAGTTGAAACATGTATCGCTTTATGCTGAGATTGTAATACTGCTTTTTTAATTTGTAGCACTCTAAAATCACGCTTCAGCAAGAGTAACTTTTCACCGTAAAGGGGCGCTTGCGTTGTGAGGCAGAAACAATTGTTTCGCGAAATACTCAAATAATGGAACCTTATTATTTAATGTGTCATTATTATAAAAGTGTCGGTTTTGATTTTACGGTGGCAGAACTTAGGCACTATCCAAGTGTGTCCGCCAGATTTAAAATTTGCTTTCATGAAAACTTGCCGAACTATTTTTTCGACACTTTTTATGTATGCTTTTGATATATTTCAACTAAGCCTTGTTTTTAATTTTTCATGAAGTGTTGATTTAAGTTTTAATTTAGGCTGTATTGAACCAAAAGCTTTAGTTTCGGCTAATTTTCTGGTGCACTGCTTACAGTTAGCTTTTTACTCTTACTGGAGACTTCAGAAGGAGAAGGCTTTAAGAGCTGGAAAATTAGATGATGCCGAGAAGAAACGGATGGAAATAGGTAGGTTCACAGTACTCATCGTTAGTCGACTTTAATATAGTTACTATTTTTTAAGATCTCGATGAAAGCGACCAGAGTGAGTCTGAAAATCCTGTCGAGAGATCGGTGGAAGTGATTTTTTCGAAATTTCTCCGAGAAACACGTGCAGGTCGTTTGAAGGTTAGTCATAAAAATTTGGGTTTTTTTGCATTTACGAATGACTCCTTGTTTCAAAAGATCAATTTTTTATATCCGAATACTTTGATCTTGTATAACTTTA